GCAGGTCCAGTCTGTCCCGGTGTAAGGGCTGAGTCTGGGTCTTCAGATCACGCCCGAGCGATCGTTTGCCGTTCATGTAGACGTATTGTTGTGGGTTTATCCTACCTACACTAGTAGCTAGAGTTGCTGTGGGAATTACTACACCACAGTTCTCTCGATGGCAGACAAAAAGAACCAAGGACCAGTTTCGCTTAATCGCCAGAGATTTGGAGAGGCTGACGGTGTACCTGAAGTTACGGGATGCAGTGCTTACCAAAGAGGGCGTTCGTGCAACACCGTTAGAGGCTCTGACGATCTGCATTCGTCGCTTGGCGTTCCCGCAGCGTTGGATTGACATGAAGGCAATGTTTGGACGAGCATCTTCAACACTTTGCCATATATTTTACTTTGTGGTGAAGCATTTTGACCAAATGTTCGCAGACCTGTTGCACTTTGATTCTAAACGAATCGTGAAAAATTTAGATCGCTACAACCACGCTGTTGCTGGAAAGAGTTCTGATAATATTGATGGTGTGTGGGGTTTTATCGATGGAACAGTGAGGCTAATGTGGCGGCCAAGTATTGGTCAGCAAATCGTTTATAATGGCCGCACACGCCTTCAAGTTCCAAACCGTGGTTGCCCCGGATGGCATTATACACCATATATACGGTCCTGTTAATGGCAGGCGTCACGACATCTACGTGCTGAGAGAGAGCAACCTGATGTCGCTTTTAGATGACAACCCTGCTTATCACAACAAACTCATCTACGGCGACCCTGCCTACGGCTGAACAAATGCCTTCTGCAGTCCATACGAGGGGTGCCGGACCGATGCACCACAACAAGATGTGGATAAGGCTATGAACAGGTTCGGGTGTCAGTAGAATGGTCTTACGGTCAGATCGCTCGCTACTTTTCATATCTTGATTTCAAACGGCAGCATCAAGCAGCCACGACGCTAGTCGCTACCCTCTACAAGATGGGAGTTCTGTCCACCAACTGCATCACGATCGCAAGAGGAACAAACACCAACTCGAAGTATTTCAACTGCTCTCCACCAACATTTGACTAGTACTTTGGCACAGCAGTGTAGCGCAAGATCAAACGCTTGTACGAAATAAATTATTACATTACCAAGTAGAAGCGAGCTCGTGTTTGAAGCGAGCTTAATCGATTCGGTGTGTATGGAAACGCAAAAGCCTTATGCAAAAGAGATGTCAAAATGCTAAATCCTCGGGGCTCGTTAAGGGGCACGATGGGTGCGCTGAAGACCTCCGTATTGGTGGCAAAGTAGCTGCAACTCGTCACGACGGAGCTGAATTTATTCTCGGCGAAGCTGGATTTCGTCTCTCCATCGGTTTTGATCGACTCTCTGCTGTTCGGTTTTGAAGGCAAACCCTTGCTTTCACCAATTCGTTTTAGCGATCGCCTTATCTTTTAGCATCACGATTTGTTTGGACTGGAATTGTCTGTTGTCATCGCGATTTTGGTTTTGGAACTCCATGAAGGCGCCAAACATTCCAGCTGGGTTGATGGTTGACCGGGTTGTGCCCTGCCTTTTCGTCGGCGCGTTGTTCCGAGCGGTTTCTTCCCCTTCTTCAGATGTAGAATTACTCCTCTCGCTTCTTCGCGCGACTGCTTGGACTCGCAATATCTCTCATTGCGTCTCTTGCACGGCCGCTTTTTTCTTCTTTTTTCTTGTCCTTCAGCAGTTTTGTCTCTTCGGCGTCGCGAATTCTGTCAGATATATCTTGCATATGGCGTTTGGTTCAACGTACGTCTCAGAAACCCCAAACTTCTTTCGGCAAGACTGGTCTTCGCTTTTGAAATCAGCGACTAGCAATTTCAACCGTTCCTTCATCGTACGATCGTTCAATTTCACCTTGAGATGTTCGCTCA